ATAGCATCACCTAGCTATTGCTGAAGTAATATAAAGCCTGCCCTTACTACAGTTATTTTTTGAAGAGTAGCTACATGACTCTAAAAATTGCTATCAGTTGCTACTGGTGACCTCTCCTTACTAGAAAATGGAGTTAATGTCCCAATTAGCCTGCAGGGTTATCACATTAAGAAAATGCAACTGCCTTGTCAACACAGCATATTGCTGCCAATCTAATAACATCCAGATGAGCTAGTATTTCACTCTTCCAATTTGTAAACAGTATAAGCAATATAATAATCAAGTATTTTCATGTTGTTAGTTTGCAACCAATCTGTCAAGTTACTCTGCTTCTAAAGCAATTTATTCCAATTTGGGCCATTCCAGGTGTTTAAGTTTACAGTTTCTATCTGATCGCCATGTGGCAAATGCTCAGAGATAATGGGAATTCTCTGTCAAATCAGCTAGGGAGAGTTAGTTAGAGGAAATCTCAAAGTGAAATTGATTAGAGTACTTATCTCCAATTTACTGTCCTTCAAATGTGCAGGATTGAAAATACAGAATCATTGGCCATTTAAATGGAAGAAAACATTGTATTGGGGCAGACTAGACAAATGTTGGATTAGACTGCCCTTTGTTCACCTCCTACATTCCGTTCTAGGATATTTATAGGTGGAAGTAAAAAAAAAAAGTCAAGATGGTGGCTACAAAAGCACAGTTCAAGTCCTGTCTCTTTTTATGACTACTGTATCTAGGATGCACATAAGAGGATGTACAGTGGTGTAATCATGGTTGCCATCCTGAGTTTCTTGACCCTGCCTATGGATGCCTTAGAAAAGTTCAGATTGATGTAACACCATTCCTTTTCTGTATCTTCCCCAAAAGTTCTATGGTTACATCTGTTGGTAAAGAATCTGTGATTTAAGTAGCTTAAAAGAAGACTGGTGAAGACTGTTTCAGTGTCATTGGTCTTTGACTACCAAAATCCAGATGATACTCTCAAGCTTCCTCTTTCTGCTATGTATTCAAGATGGACAGTGATTAATATTTATATGTATTTATATGTAAGGGTATATACATGATGTCAACGCTGTTAACATCGGATGTTTTTGCATTGACAACAGATGAAAATATAGCCATCTTTTACCTTTTGCTTGTAGAGTTAGATGATGCTGGGAGGGGGGGGATGTGAGTGAGAGTCCAGTGAGACATAACAACACTAAACCTAGCATGAGAAACAAGGTTATTGTAACCAGAGCTGATAAGGAATTGGCCGGGCTGGAGAACTGGAGAGGAAGCCTGTGCTTCAAGCTAATTGGGGGGTGTGATTTATGACTGTTAATTGGAGGAGGGAATTGTGCTTTGATACTATGTGCTCAGGGGAGGGGAATTCAGTTTTTGGCTTCAATTATGCAGTGCCGATATTATGCTATTCAAAATAAAGATTCTTTAGGTAAACAATGCCTCAAAGTTCTTTTGAAGAGTTTCATCTGTCGGAACCATGACACATATGTTGTATATAGCATATTTACAGTATGTGTGTTGTGTATGTGTACACTTTTGAGAGCAAGCAACAGTATTTTATTTTTAATGTGTGCCAGTGTGCCCACAGTTTAAAAAAATGACAATAAAGATTATTTATCTACTAGTTTTCTGCCACCTAGTGGTCATCTGGATTTTGGCAGCCCTGACTTCCTACCCATAGTTTATAAACTGGATAAGGCGGTGATATTCTCAAAAGAGTTGTGCAATCTTGGCTTTGTTTCCTAAAAGGTTTTTGTTATGTCTTTGAATCCTCCTGTTAACCTGGAAGGAACTAGGGAGAGGAGAGCAAGTTGCCAAGCACCCTGTTGGAAGAAGGCAGTATTTACTCCAGATGAAAATGCTTGAAATAAGAAAAGAGGTAAACCTGAGATATTTTATTACTGGTAGAATACCATTGGAATGTTTAAGGAGAAAAGTGGATGATAGAATAAATCAAGGGAGTCTCTGTTTTATGCACTGAATAGCAATTTAATGATGTGTGCTTTGTAGAAATTTGTATTATTGGAGTATGTTTAGCAGTAGTTGTTTGCTCTTTTTAATCATTAAGCTGGAAGCATATTAAACATATGTTATTACGTTAATCTTATAAAACTTGTTCATTTATAAAGCAATTGAATGCACATATCTATTAAAACTGCATTTCTCAATTAACTTTTATTTTTTTAAGAAACTGCAATTTAGAACTTTGTTCTTATTTTAAGATAAGAGATACACTTTTAAGAATATATCAACAATGCAAACCTCTTCCTTTTTTTTTTTTTTTTTTATAAATAAGCTACTGGCCATGATTTTCCTCCAAAAATTCTCAGAAGTCTAGAACTTTTTTTTTTTTTTAAATGATTAAAATTCTGCTGGCATTTTTTAAAACAATTCCAGTTTCTTTCTGAAAGAGGAATATCTGTTAAGCCAGTTTTGAGACTGTTGTATATTTGCAACTTATAAGGAATTATTTAATTCAGGCAGAACTGAAAAAGCGTCTGCAACAGGAGGCTAGGTTTAATAAGCCAAAAACGAGGGATCTTCATTTGCTGGGCACTCTTGAGTATATGCAGGGAACTCGAAGTTCTGATGAGGAAGAGCAACACTCTACTGAGCATGAGCAAACATTTAATGGAAGCCATGGTAAGTATCATCAAGGCAATCGATTTTCATGCCAATGTTTCTGATACTGCTACAGGGTTAAGGTGATTCCTAACCTTTTAATCTCTACACTGGCACCGTCTTTGTTTCATAGTTTCCTTCTTAGAATTCTCTGTAAATCCATTTATATTTTGGCATAGTGGTTAGAATGCAGTATTGCAGGCTAACTCTGCTCACTGCCAAGAGTTCATTCCTGACTGCCTCAAGGTTGACTCAGCTATCTTCTTACAGTACCTGCCAATAGATGTAGACCAATATAGTTAAATATTACATCATTCAACTGTGACTGAAACAAGGATATTGATTCTAAGTAATCAAAGTTGCTCACTACATGATGCAGGACGATGTCAGAACAAGAGATGCCCATGAGCTCCCCTGTAACTAGAATTAGAAGAGGAAATACAGGTTCCAACTGGGATGAAATCATTCCAAGGATACAGCCATAGAGGCATTGTTTCTATTTTGCACTAGGCTTACAGATTGCATGCTAACTGATTTCCAGTATGGTAGACATGACATAAAGTACAAGGGCCACATTGATAAATTTTGTGTTCATTGCTTTTTAAGGGATGATAATCCCACACTCGCATATCAAGTGGCCAAATCCCTTCACCAAGTTATACAGTTGTGCAAAACTTTTAATTAGCTATATCATTTTATTGTCTTATTGTTTTTCTTCCTGTTCCCAATAGCAAATTATTGCATCAAATCATTTCTGTAGTAACGATACTTGATTTGATTTAAAGTCCTTATCCACTTGTATGGTACAGGATCAGGGATGTGGTAAAATTTGTACCATGCCATAAGCTTTTAGAAATTCTAGGAATGGAGAGACTCCATTCCAGATGCCACAATTTATTTCTGAATTGGAATTACACAGAATTCATTTCTACTTGTGACAAAGTGTTAGTATAGAATACTAGGTCAAAAAATGCCCTAAGAATGGCCATAGGCATGTGTTCCAGAGTAATTTCTCCCACTAACTGTAATTATGTTTAGAGATATGCCTTGGGATTAACACTTGATTGTAGAATTTTTTCCCCCATTACTTCTTTCTAAGGGGAAATGAGTCGTAAGTGGAAATGAGAATCTGCCTTTTCTTTTATTGTGCTCATTTCATAAAAGGAGTCAACAATGGATTTTGTGATACTTCAAAGGCTAACAAATTAATCTTGGTTATTTTTACCACAAAAGACTAAAACAGCCACTCGTACATTGATGGAAAGGTGTGTCCTTTTGTCTCTGAAGAATAACAGTTCATTATATACAAGTGCAGTATATCGGAGGTGGGCAATGTGATTTCAGACTTCAGATGTCGAGCACTTATTTGTCTACTAGGATTCCTGATGCCTGATCTAAAATATTGTAGAGTAAAAAATTAGGCTGACATAATCCAAGCTAAAGCGCCAACCTCTAGCATTTTATTTAATTGCTATGGAGCCAACCTGATCTCCTTCAGAGAATTTGGTTCCCAACTCCCATAATCTATGGTCAGTATGGCCAAAGCTACCATATCAATGGATTATGGTTTCTAACATGCTAGGTTGGGACTAAGCTAGACCAAATGGCACTGATCCAAGGTTGTGACTTATGCATCACAGTTCTTCTTGTGTGTTTATACAATGTTGAAATCTCCTTTGCTTGTTTTGTTAGGAGATTTGTGGCACAGAGAATTTCTTAAAGAGTCTGGGTCACCTAAATCCCATCTAAACCAGAGGGACAAAGTGGAAACATGGCTGTTGAAGCAACAAGCAACAATGGAGTCATCTTCAGATGCTTCAAGCATTGACACCAATAACTGGAGTGACTGCAATGACAACTTTAGGAAACCTTATCGGAGGCCTGCCTTAGTGAGAACTAAGACAGAAAGGATGACCCTTTTTGATGATTTTTTTGATAAAGAACTCTAAATTATACAAGGCATGTATAAGTCAGCCTTTTAGAGATGGCATTCTGGCATTATTCTCCCCTTCCATTTGTAATTCTATCTATCTGTCTGTCTGTCTGTCTGTCTGTCCGTCCGTCCGTCCGTCCGTCCGTCCGTCCATCATCTATCTCTCTCTCTCTCTCTCTCTCTCTCTCTCTCTCTCTCTCCATCCATCTATCTATCATCCATCTATCTATCATCTATCATCATCTATATCTCCGTTCATATTTATTCTTTCCTTAGAAAATCTTCTAAAGAGAAGAAAACAGTATATGCCATTGTAGTCAATAGCCAGCCTGCATCATAGTACTGAAGCTCCCCTGCCATTCTAAATGCCAGGCAGCCTTTGAATATGAATACACACTTTTTCTCAAGCATAGGCTTTAGCACATAGGCTTCAGCACAGATTCTTGGGGGATTTACCCCCCCCTCCACACTTCTTCTTTTTCTTCTTCTTATAGAGAAAAAAAAACCTTTGTTCTTTTAAAAGAAGAAAGTGAATTCTGGGAAACAGAGCAAGAAATTATTGTGCTTGATCTTGGAAAAGAAGTGGGATGTACTATCACTCCAACAACTTTGATAAATAGCTGGAATTATTCCAAGAGGCTGCAACAGAGGACATTTTGCTTTGATTCATTTTACAACTTACTGAAGAGATAAAGAAATATGTAAATATATTTCGCAAGAGCTGCATTAAATTCTAATTTCTTTTGCTTTGCCTGATTATGTTCAATATGCTTTCTGTACAAAAATAATTGTGTTTTATCATAGTCTGGAATCATACATCAGGCATATTTTAAAAGATCTTTATTTTGTTCTCTAAGTTCTTGTAGTAATAATAATGGAAGGAGAAATACTATTTGTGGTAGATCAGCACAGCCTTGTCTATTTGGAGAAGTATTTGTCTTTATTGTTGTTTTTAAAATGCTGAATCTGCTTCAATAGCGATGCTTTGTATTTTGCGTATTTAAAGTTAAAAAGAATTATAATGTACCTTTTTCTTTAAAAAAAATCTGCTCTTGCTTGATTGAGACTGTTGTAGGAATATGTCTCACCTCTATTTTTGGCTTGGACTACAGGAAAAAAGAACTCTCTGTATTCTACAAAGGTATCAATTTGTATAAAGTCTGACCTGTGCTCCACATAATGCCATTTAAGCATTTCATGGGCATCTTATGTAAATGTCTGATTTGGCCTTCTGAAGGTGACTATAATTTTTTAAAAAGACATGTTCAATATCTTTTAAAAGACTTTTAGTCCTATGCATAAAAGAAGGGAAGGCTAGTCAATTTTAATTGGGAAACACAGGTATTTTCTGCTGCTCCCCTTTATTATTTTGAGAAAGGGTCAATACATTTTTGCCTAATCTTACACCAGTTTGCATATGCTATGAGACATTTTTTGGGTGCTTCCAGAGGTGGCCCTTTGATGCCGTGCCCTTGCAACATATATCGATAACTTCCTGTGATAAGTCTCGACTTCACTTCAACTAATTTTTACACAATCAAAGAGAAGGATCCGTTCACTGGTTTACTGATCATTTTGACAGGCGGTCTGATAGTGAAAAGACTTACTCACTCTTTTGAGAAGGTTTTTTGGGTGTTTGTTTGGATCGACTGTTCAACCACTCCACTTATCACGTTCTTTTTCGTTGTATGCACTTCCCAGGCTTCCTTTTCCTTCATCCCACCCCCTTCCTCCACACCTGATCTTTCAGCCTCTTTCAGAAGGCTGATATGCTCCTGTTCAGAAATATCCCAAGTGACAGGCTACTATTGCAAAGCATCTCCAATCCAGTGAACTGCCACTCATGCAACCTGAAACATAGCCAAAGACTCTGCCCGAAGTATTCATTTACATTTGCCCAAGTGTATCTTGTTTTCTTCTGCCAGTTCTTTACACTGCTTGGGTAAGAACCAAAGCCAAGGTTCTCTACAAATTGCTGGCCTTAAAGATCAGGCAAGCATATTTTACTGCTAACTCAGATTGGAGGGATTCTTATTGATGTAGCCATGTAGCCCAAACAGAATACCTGAAGGTACATTTTATTCAATTGCGACATGGCTAATGCTGAAAAACTGTCTGGTATCAGAAAGGAGCAGATCAGGCCTATGGAATTGCCTTATATCAGTCTGGGCTGTAGGTGTACTCCAAACCCAATGTTGCTTGGTAACCCTCTAACCCAGGGGTAGGAAACTGTTATGTCCTGGGCCTGCAGACACAGGCTGCAACGATTGGCCCAGGCAGACCACGTGGATGCCTGGGACCAGAGGGGCTGTTTCCAGCCTTGCGCACATGCGCAAGGCGGGAAAAAAAGCCTTGCAACGATTGGCCAGCAAAGTACCTTGCAGAGGACTATAAAAGGTAACCGCATCATTTTGTAACCGGTTCTGTTGCTGTTTGGAATAAAGGAGGACTTGTTTGAAACCATGCTTCGTCTCAATGCCTCTTTCTCGAAAACAGAACATTGGCGACGAAGGTGGGATTGCCTGCAAGGGAAACAACGCAAGAAGCTAGGCTGACTCACCACGGGAGGCCTGAAGCTCGGAGAAGCACGGCGTCCGGTAATCGCTACTCGGCCTGCCAGTATAGAAATGCTGGAGGTGAGCTCGGCGGAGGGGACCCCTTCTTAACCCTTGCAGCAAGAGGCGTGGACGAAGTTCCTGGACTGCAACGATGTCTAAGATAGGCCGGCTGTCGGAGTTCGACACAGCACATCCAGAACGCTGGAATTCGTACGTGGCCCGGGTAGAGAACTACTTTTGGGTGAATCAGATCCAGGAAGACGGCCTCAAAGCTGCTACGTTGCTGTGTGTCTATGGGCAAGAGACTTTCGATATCGCTGAGAATCTGGTCGCCCCAGCACCACTGGAATCAATCGCCTACACTGAATTGAAGAGGATGTTTTGAGAGCACTTCGAACCCAAGCTCTCAGTGATTGCCTGGCGACACGCGTTCGAGCAGAGGGACCAGAGGCCTGGTGAGTCTGCTGCGGAATTTGTTGCGGCCCTACGACAGGCAGCTAGGCCCTGCGAGTTCAAGGACGTGGAAGAGAGGCTCAGAGATCATTTAGTCTGTGGCCTGCGAAGTCGTGAGTTGCAGCAGAAGCTCTTCGCAAAAGAAGACCTCTCGTTCCAAGATGCCTTGAGAGAAATTGCAGCCGAAGAAGCAGCCGGCGGAGCTGTGAAGGCCTTGCGGCTAGCCAAGCACCCTCAAGTTCCAGTCACCATTCATCAAGAGGTCGTGGAGGAAGACTACGAACAGGATCCAGAATCGGAAGTGGACCGGCTGCATCAGATTCCGGAGAGAAGGCCTCAAGGAGGAAAGGCCCAGTCAGCATCATCAACCCCTTGGTGCGTCGGGTGCGGAGGCCGCCATTGCCGCGCAGACTGCCGTTTCCGCTCCTCCATCTGCAGGGCATGTGGTAGGCAAGGCCACATTGCAAAGATGCAGGAAATCTTTAAAGCAGAGATGCTAAAGCTGAGACCTGCATTGGTTATAAAGATTTAAAAGTTTCTCCTGTCCAGTCATGACCGACTCAAAGGGGTGGTGCTTATCTCCATTTCTCAGCCGAGGGAGCCTGTGCTGCCTGGGAGACGCTTCCATCATCATGTGGCCAGCATGAAAATATGGAACACAGTAACTTTCCCATCAAAGTGTACCTATTTATCTTGGTTTGGCTATAAGTCATGCAAATCATAGTTCCTGTCACTAGCTCAAAAAATAAAAACCTTTCCTCAGAAATCATAGGCATGACATTTTGACATGTTATATGTTGTGATGATAGAGTGGATCCTTTTGGAATGGGTGAATGAGATTCAGGACAGATGAACAAATTATACAGGAAAATTTCCTGCCCCAAGATGAATTGGGGACTATTGAATGCACATGTCTTCAAAGAAGAATGAAACAAAATAATGGAGAGCAGATTATTCAGTAAGTCATGATCCCTGAGTGGAATTTCTAATTTTGGCAGAACAGCCAAGAAGAAAGATCTTTTAGAGGCTATTATTTTGACCCTTCTGCTTATGCACAAGTGCATGCTATAGATTTGTACTGTATATTGTATGTATTGTATTGTATTGTATAGATAGATAGTGTCATATTCATTCTCTATAAGTAGTCTTCGAGTTATGACCATAATGGAGTTTGCTTATCTTGGTCGTAATTTCTGTTAGTATCAGGAATAGTAGTTTTGGGAAATGTATTTTTGTGAGAAGTGTTTTTAGAAGATATGGTTCTTCACCAAAGGCTTCTCAAGTTTCTTTATGGGAAAACAGCTCGGTTTATAGTGCATATAGAACCCACAATTAGTAACTAAAGTTTCAACTTGGTAATGTACCAAATCTTTTTCCACAAAGAATTCTGGAATATTTTCATATCTAATGACATTTTATATCATCAGTATGTATTTGCAATGATATATCTGCACATGTATAGGATCCAACCCTCCAAAGGCAATTAACAAATTCCAACAACAGGAGCAGAATATCGCTCAAAATAAAAACTATAGAACCAACCTTCAAGATTCAGGTTTGAAAGACAGATTATATATGTTGCATGAACAAATGGAAAAAAGTTGCTCCAGAGGGGATTTATTTTCCTTTAATAGCTGTGAGTGGGGGGTGGGGGGCGGGCAGAACCCAGCATCTTTTTTTGGAAAACAGAGAAAGGAGATAAAATGTTTCATTTCAGAGAATCAATAAGTATCTTAGAACTAAGCTCATGGAAACATTTCCTTTCATGGCAAGGGGTGCTTGTAATGAAATACTGGTGAAGGAAAACGGAACCAAACCCCTCCTCCATATCAGATAAGACACTTCAGGTTAAATAGTTTAGATGGCTTAGATAATGCAGGATGTCAGATCTGTGTGAAAGCTACCTGGAATCTCTCCTTTTCAGCAGTGCTGTCTCTGAGTTATTGATCTGGTTAGATCTGATTCCTGACCCGAGGGGACCAATCTGAACATACAATTTTATTCC